CACCAGATGCTGTCCTTAGCAATTCAACTCGGATGAGCTACCCAAATGAACTAGCAAAGCACAGCCCTAGCAAACCCCTCCTTGGTCTATAAGCCCCAAGCCAAGGTAAATGACTTGCAGCCCCTTTTTAACCTCTCAAGTCCCTGTACTGACCACAGGCAGCATGATCAAATCCCCCAATCAAAACCACAGTGACAGGCAATGGTCACTATCTTGCCCTCATGACTGAGAAAAGCCAATTTGGAAGAGAAAAATCCAGCTGGGCCTCCTATCTCCCCACACGGGCTCTGACAGAAGGCAAGCTTCCTGTGGGAAGAACAGGCACAGAGCAAAGGGGGGGGGGGATAGACATTCCTTGTGATTATCTTTTCTATTCTTCTGTTCACAACTAACTGTCTTAGATAGCCAAGTATATTTGGAGATGAGCTGTCATGGGGGGTGGGGGGGAAGTCCCAAAAGGGGAGAGGTAGGGAAGAGGAGAAGAGTCAGCATTTTTAACCTTTTAACCATTTCTAGTTCACGAAGTATGGGTTTCAATATGTGGGAAATTTTACTTTACACATATTGCAAGGACTGAAAAATGAGAAAAAGCAGCTGTGTGCTAGTGGCTCATGCCTGTAATCCTAACTACTCAAGAAAGTGAGATCTGAAGCTCTTGCCCAGGCAAGAAAGTCTGTGAGACTCTTAACACACATACACACACACACACACATGTGTACCAGAAGTGATGTTATGGATCAAGTAGTAGAGCACCAGCCTTGAGCAAAATAAAATTTAAAAAAATAGCTCAAGGACATCATACGTGCCCTGAGTTCACACTCCAGGACTGTCAAGAAGGAAGGAAGGAGGAAGAAGGAAGAAGAGGGAGGTGAAGGTAGAGGAAGAGGAGGAAGAAGAGGGAGGAGGAGAAGAAATACAAAGGGAGACTTCAATTTCAAATTTTTACTTTATTATTACAATTAATATTTCGGTGATGGTACTGGCTTTTTCAAGCTCAAATTTGGCACTCTCCCACTTGAGCCACACCTCCACCTCTAGCTCTTTTGCTGATTCAACAGACTTTTCTTCCCTAGGGCTAGCTGGTACTCTGCTCCTCAGATCTTGGCCTCCTGAGCTGCTGGGATTACAGCTGGAAGCAGCCAATCAATTTCTCATTTCTCTGACTAGTTGCTCCAATTCTGTTCACTATTCTGCTGTTCAATTACACATAATTATACTCTGACTTCTTCTAAATAAAATTAACCTGTGGGTAAAGACAGACCTTGAAATCAGCCCCTGAAGTACTTGAATCTCATGAGGATGAGAGAAAGCTGAAATTTCAAGAATCTGTATAGACAAACTAGGAATGTATAGTCAGTTCTGACAATTCCAGACCTCCTAACTCCTGGGCTAGAGAATTTCTACCATTCCCCACCCTCACTCTGCAGTACAAAAGAATCAAAGAAATCTGTTTCATCATATATGTGTTCAAATGCAATATAAATAGTCATTAAGAACTCATAATAATAAAAAAAAAAGAACTCATAATAACTGGGCACTGGTGACTCACGCCTATAATCCTTGCTACTGAGGAGGGCGAGATCTGAGAATCATGGTTCAAAGCCAGTGCAGGCAGGAAAGTCTGCGAGACTACCACAAAAAGCTGGAAACAGCGCTGTGAATCAAGTGGTACAGCACTTGGGAGAGAGCCCAGGCCCTGATCCTCAGCTCAGGGATAGTGCCCAGGCCTTGAGTTTAAGCCTCAGAACCAGCAAAACAACAACAACAAAAACTCATAGTATATTTTATTTAAATATGGAGCACTAAATGCATGCACTGATCTCTGCTTCTACTAAAATGTAAACCAAGAAAGACAAATAGAGTAAGAAAGCACACAGTGTCCCCGGGTTGGAAGACTGAGAACGCTACAGGCAAGTGGAAACTGGCTAAGCTGGAGCAATCTTCATCCTGACCTGGGAAAGCCCAGAGGCTGTCATTAGGTGCACATGCTGAGGAGCTGGCTACACAGGTTCTTCCAGTTCAGCCACTCTGAGGAGCGTTTCCCCAGTCCCTCATCTTCAGCTCCCACACCAGAGACTGGGAGTGTCTACTAGGATTCCACCATGTTCCTTGGGCTCCTAAGTACCAGGCCTTGTAAAACTTGCAGATTCTTTACTTATAAGACAGACAACATAGCCGAATGCTGGTGGCTCACACCTGTACTCCAAGCTACTCAGGAGGCTGAGATCCACTATTCTCAGAGCTCAGCTAGCCTGAGCAAGAAAGTCTGAGACTCTTACCTCCAATTAGTCACCAAAAATCTGGAAGTGGTAGAGAGCTAGTCTTGAGGAAAAAAAAAAAAGAAACAGCTCAAGGACAATATGCAAGCCCTGAGTTTATGCCCCAGAAATGGCGTGCATGTGTGTGTGCATGTGCATATACACATAAACAGGACAGACATGCATGTATGTACACATACACAGACATACACAAAACAGATAACACAAACACTGGATTCAAAGATAAAGGTCTACAAAAACCCAGAGAAAGTTTTCATACAAAAGATACTAAATCAGAATCTGACTTAAGGAATTTAACAAAAGAACCCTTGGACCGAGAATTCTGAGATAGGATTTCTTCCCTAGAAAAATCTAACAGGTAGTTAAAGGCTGCTCTCATTGAAGGACACTGACTCCTTACTTGGGCCCAGGAGTAGTAACGAACACCAAATCAATAAGAACCACCACAGCCTCTCTCACTCATACCCTTTGTCCATGTGAAAGCATGGAAAAAGATGTTATACCAAAATGAAGTCGCAAAGCAGTTAAGACATAAATGTAGGCCTGTAACACAAGTGCCAAGCCAAAGGAATCTTTGAGATGGTGATAAAAGGGATCTGTTCCCCAATTCTATGGGGTGTCCAGAATGTGGAAATTGGGAAAAGCTCTAAAAGGCCTTCACCCTCAGCAAGGATGGCCAGGACAGCTTCCTGTGTGGTGGATTATAGGATAAGGAGATTTCACATCCAGGAGTTTGAGGCTGAATGATTCCTAACCACATCAGAAATGAAGAAATAAAAATCAGTATCCACTGATCCACTGTATAGTCTTGAGAGGAAAAGTAATCAAACTCTATATGCTGTGGCTCATCTGCGGAGAGCATTACACAGTTACAATAAACATTGAATATTGATCTTAGCAAAATCACAACACAATTACAATATAATGATAATGGGGAAGGGGAGGGAGAGTGGATTATGTGAGGAAGGGCCCCTGGGCAAAGGCAGAGGAAAGCAAGCTAAGCACCCTCTAAAATGGAAACAAAACAGAACAGATAAATGACAATTTAAGCATGTTGGCAGAAAATTACTAAAAGAAACACCCCCAAGTTGAGAATACTCATCTCTGGGGAACTGAAAAGATACTCCAGTTTTTCATAACAAAGTCATATAGCATCACTTAATTTTCTAATTATGATAACATAAGGTAATTATGTACAAATCTGATACCAATAAAAACTTCCTATTTCTTACCCTTTACAAAGGAGGTAGTGGTCACACCTGTAATCCTAGCTACTCAGGAGGCTGAGATCTGAAGGTTATGGTTCAAAGCCATCCAATCAACCAGCAAGAAAGCTGGCAGTGGAGCTGTGGCTGACGTGGTAGAGTGCTAGCCTTGAGCAAAAGAAAAAAAGCTCAGAGCTGGGAAGGTGGCTCAGTGATAGAGTGCTTGTCTCGCATGCATGAGGCCCTGGGTTCGATTCCTCAGTACCACATAAGCAGGAGAAAGCCAGAAGTGGAGCTGTGGCTCAAGTGGTAGGACGCTAGCCTTGAGCTAAAGAGCTGAGGGACAGCGCCCAGGCCCAGAGTTCAGGCCCCACAACCAACACCAAAAACAACATAAAAGCTCAGAGACAATGCCTAAGTTCTGAGTTCAAGCCCCAGGACCAGTACAAGAAAGAGTAACCAGCACAAAAAAAGAGAGAAGTAAGAGAAGGGAGAGAGGGGAGAAGGGCGGAACCAGACAACCAAGTGGAAAGGCAGAGCAGGCAGAGCAAGAAGCCTAGACAGACAGACAGACATCATCAGCCTACAGATGGTATCTTAAGCCTGGGACAGAATCAGCCTGACCAGAATCAGCTTAGGAACAAGTTGAGACAGGAAAGAAATCAAGCTCTAAACCTCAAGCACCCAATTTTCAATACTGGATGTAGAAAATGAGTTGGGAGTCGAATCTATCAAGACGGAATAGCATCACCAAGCCAGGGCAACGAATTTCAGGAAGGCCCAGCCCCAGTAAGGATGAGATAAGCAGAAAACCCAAGGATTCAGCATGAGGGAGGAATGTTCATTCCTTATGCAGAAGTGAACTGGGTTCTTCCAGCACGGGCAGGAGCTGGCATTCACACATGGACCATTTTTACCAACTGCAAGGCCTCACTGATCAGTTAAAACTTAGGAAACTTCAACACAACTGACATTATCTAGGACCCTTATATATTTTTGTATAACAGGACACACACAAAAAAAGATGGAACAGTGGTTCACACCTGTAATCCTAACTACTCAGGAGGCTGAGATCAGAGGATCAGTTCAAAGTCAGGACCAGCAGGACAATCCATGAAACTGTTATCTCCAATCAACCACCAGAAAACCGGAAGCGGAGTAGTGGCTCAAAATGGTAGAGTGCTACCCTTGAGCAAAAAGAGCTCAGGGACAGTCCAGGCCCTAAATTCAAGGCTGAGACCTGAGGATTGCAGTTTGAAGCCAGCCCAGGCAGGAAAGACCATGAGACTCATCTCCAATTAACCACTACCCAAATCAAATCAAATCAAAAGGAGCCACAACTCTACTTCTGGCTTAAGCACAAAAAAGCTCAAGGATAGCTCCCAGGTCCTGAGTTCAAACCTCAGATCCCACACACATACACAAACAACATCCATGAACCTATCCTTGAACTAACAGTGTGAGGGACAAGGTACATTAGTTAGTGGTACTGTTCAAACGCAAACGCAAATCTTACCTAGACTGGATGGGAGGAGAGAATGAGTAATCAGAAAAGGCCTCCTGGAGGCAGGAACATCACCTGAAGGATGAGGAGGCATCAATAAATATAAAAGACAAGCACAAGGGCTGGTGCCGGGCTGCAGAACACCAGCAGGAGGGGCTGAATCTGAGTCCCAGACCTGCTTCTGCAATACCATCACATCAACTGACCTTCCCAGGTCTCATTTTTCGTTACCTTGGGCCTGGAATGGTTTAGATCAGTTGCCAAACTCTTGGTGTGTGACAGAATTGCCCAGAAGCTTGGTACCAAAAAAAATTAATAATTATTATTATAAAGTCATGGCTCTCTCTCCCCCCCCTTACTCCCTCCCTCCTCTAGAAATACAGTTTGAACCAATGGGCTATCCGTTTTTCTCCTGTCACTGCCTCTCTGCAGGTAGGATTGCATGAGACTCTCAAGTTCTTGCCATCTTAAACCTGGGTGCGCAATAATGTCCTCTGCGGAGATTTTGGAAAGCCTAAGCCAGATGGCAATTTAGAGAACTGTGCTGGAATCTCGAGGAGAGAGGGTTCAGACATTGGTAATTTTAAATTTAGTCCCCAGACTAATTCCTAGTTGCACCCAAGGTTGGTAACTACTGCTCCAAATCCTGTTAGTACGTTAATGTGTGCGTGTGCATGTGTGTGTGTGTGTGTGTGCGTGTGCACACCCGCACATTGGTACTGGGGCTTGAACTCAGCACCTCATTTCCTTAGATTTTTTTCACTCAAGGTTAACATTTTACCACTTGAACCACACCTCCACTTTCAGTGGAGATAAAGAGTCTCATGGAGTTTTCTGTCCAGGCTGGTTTTGAACCATGATCCTAAGATCTCAGCCTCCAGAGTAGTTTAGGATTATAGACATGAGTCACCACAAGCTCCTGGCTTTTTAATTTCCTATTATATCCAATGAAAGCTAAGAAAGGAAAGAAGGAAGGAGCTTCTAAGTTTTTCTCTCCTTCATCCTATGTCAAGCTAGAAAGAAGGCGGGGGGGTGGGGGGGAGGCTGGGAAGGGATGTGAAGGGTAAACAAAGGAGGAGGCTACAATGCTTGATAAGAAATGTACGCATTATCCTGCCCATGTAATTGTACAGTATGTTCACAA